AAGATCTGCAGGGGCATTGCTATCAAACTGCTTGAATGTCACGCGAGCAAACGCCTCCGAAAATACCTCTGGCAACCAATTGCGCACAAGGCTTCCTGAAGCGCAGAAGTCCAATGGTCCAAAAAGCTTGGACCATTTGCTGTGGGCTGGAACGGATGGCACGCAAGTCAGAAAGAGATTTACCATTGCATCTGCAGCCTTCCGGACTGCCTTGCTTCTGCTCGCGCAACACACAGGATGATGAACAGTTGTGAATCGGATAGCCAATGATATCAGTTGTGTTCCCAAACATCTGAAGAAAAGCAGCAGCCTTACGGTCAAACTGAGACTGGGTTTCAGGCGCCTCAGCATCTTGCTCAACCGATCTGGCCTCCCGATCAAGCTTATTCCACAATCTGAGATAAGAAACCCATTCTTGCAGCGCAAGATGCGGCTGGACGTACGTCATCAGCAGGCATGCACCGACGAAAAAGTAAGGTGCGCTCCGACCATGCACGCGCAGCTTGTCGCATTCGTAGCCAGTACCCCAGGTTGCGGATGAACAGACAAAGACCGTAAATCTTATTCAACAAGATTGGACTGACTGCTGCTAGGACACATGCACTGTTCAGCTGAACAGCGTGGTTCATACATCTAGCATGCGCAACAAGAAAGGGCCGCAATGAGCCCGGCGGTCCAAGCAAAATCGTCTTAGCCTTCTGGATTAGATGGGCTAGTAGTCGCAGGTTGCTAGCAGCACGTCTGTTTCGGCGACATCCACATTCAAGCGTGCCTTTGAACGAAGGAGCGCTAGCAAACCATTGATGCACTTGTAGGCTGGGCGGCGATAAAGTGCATAGTACTGATGGTCTTCACCTGTTGCCAGAAGCGTCACAGGAGCATGACAATCCGAATGACAAAATTCTTGCCATTGGGCCACACCACGACTAACCGAATCCTGCAAGCCATCACCTGCCAGGACCAGCGGACTCGGGATGAAGACGTGTCCGCATTCATGTTGCATTGTTTCAGAACAAGCAACGGCGAGTCGGCCAATGTCTGGCAATGAAGTTTGCTTGCTGGTTCATCAAGGCGGAGGCTACCATTATTTGCATGGTCCTGATTGTGGATCTCCCTACCTGCAAATGCTGAGCTGGAGTAGATTTCGACTGAACTTGCCAAACGCTGCCTCAAGAATTCGGGCCATGTAAGCTTCCGTTGGAACCGGTTCCCCTTGGAACTTACTCGAGTCAACTGCAGCATAATCCCAAGGGCTTGTGACGCACGAACAACCCGCACATTGACCAATGCATGGTTGGCGATGAAACGACTCTCCGACAAATGTCAGAAACTGCTGCTGAAAATCGCTCCACTCGTCTCTGCAACTTGACTGAACGCATGTGGCAAGTTAGCAAGGACCTCTGCATTGTGTCTCCATGACGACCCTTGCCGACTCTTCCTCGCATGCTTGGGAACTTACTGCGTGCTTTGAAAGCAGGCTGCGCCGGAACCAACGCTGCACAAGCAGCAACTGCGTCAGATTGAAGTTGAGCGGCAGACCCATGTGCCACAACCAGTTCTGAAGCAGCGTTCTCTGGCTCAGATGTTTCGTCTACCAGCAACGACAAGAAATCTACATCCATGGCGCACCTAACTTCCCCTTGACCCCGAAAGACACCAAAGCTATTTGACCTGTTTGGTACTCAGTAGTCACGCAATCTGCAAATGGAATATTGACCTGCCAGAATCACTCTTTCTCACTACCTTATACCCGCATACCTTAGTTGCACCGTACACAGACCCGTACCGTACACTGTATACACCGCAAGCCGTATGATGCACACTGTATGCCAGTGACATGTTTCATCCTGAGGTTTCGGAACCTCTAGTTGCGATAAGTCGGCAAAATACGCGCAGCCTAGGTGAAAAACTCACACTCAGGACATGTCAACGGTCTCTGGAGAAGCAAGCCAAGCAACAGTACCTCCGGGAGCACGACCCTCAATCGGAAGCTACAATTCAGTTTTCAACATAGCTTCCCAAAACAAGTTCTAAATCCACTGCTCTTGCTGCGTTGCTTGGTGATGAGATTGCTTTCAAGGCGACAAAAGCAGTTCATCACACCAGGCCCCTCGTTGTAAAGCCAGCTACTGGACAAGACAGCTCTCGCAGGCGCTTGCATGAATAAAGCTGAGAATTTCGAGGGAGACCACGAAGTCCATAAGTGGCGACCTAATAGTATGAAACACGGCACCTGGAAGTGGATAATGAGGGACCTGAAAGCGTATAATTGGGGACCTGAAAAGGTATAATTAGGAACCTGGAAGTGTATAATTCGGGGCCTGGAAATATATAACTCGGGGCCTGGAAGTGCACAATTAGGTCAGCCTTGGATTTGAGAGACATGGGCTAAAGACACGGGTCCAGAGCTTCTACAAGCAATAGCAAAGACATCCCCCCTCCGTCTGGCATGTCTAAAGAAGATGGGCTCCAATTCTTGCGAGGGGCTGCTAGGGACCAAAGAGGGTGAAACATCCGAACAAAAGCGGGCTTTGTGCTAAACCCTACCTGGAGCAACCCTGTACCCCGAAAGGTCGACAAAGCCTTGACTTTGGAAAGTGCAGTCTTCTGCAGAATATAACCATATATCACCCTATACAACACTATGTAACCCCGTATAGTCCTGGATAACTGGATAACCCTATACCTCATTATTGGGGACGCCAGTGTTCGACCCGTTCATCCCACGCCTTCGATTTAGGGTCTAGGGATTTGGGATTTAGGCGGTTAGGGGGTTAGGATTCAGGGTTAGTGATTCTTGGGATCAGAGAGTTTCCTTTGCACCCGTAGGGGTTGTTCCCGTAGGTGTGCCTCCCCAGGCCGTGGAAGATACCCCCCGGGCAAAGCCTTCATGATGAATCGGCTCCTGTGGAGCGGCGTTCAGAAAATGGAGGAGTAGTCTGAATTGTGCTGTTAGCACCATCTGTGACTTGAGTATGGAACAGTAGGCTTGTTCCCAAACTGATTTATTCGAGACGCGCGAATAGTATGAGGATTTCATGCCTAGAACTCTTCGGAGATGATTGAAAAATCACCCATCCATCTTTTGGAAATGATTTTTCTCCAGGGAGAGTCCTGCTGCGCCATGAAGCAGCACCCGTACTGTATTGGCGATAAATATATGTGTCTTCGCTTTACGGGATAGATGGCTGCGCCACAGGTGGGTAAGCTTATCGAATGCGGCGTTTGCTAAAGAAATGCGGTGTTGTAGGGCCGTCAGGGTGGGTTTAATTAATTATGCCATGAGATCATGCTACCAAAATGTTTTACCGCATCATTGGTCTTCACCTCTGCGCCGTCGACGAAGCATGGTGGAGGAGTAGGCCGCTTTGGGTGATTCAACAGCTCTGCCTCTTCCGGCTTAAGTAGTAGTAGCCGTAAAGGGACGCTTCGGATTGCGGGTAGCACAAGTACTCTTCAACCACTTCCGTGCTAACACCGAACAAGAGGGTATCGTCTGCGTAGTCTAAGTCATACACCAGCTTTACCTACTGACCAGGTGCTAGTCGGCACTCCATGAGCGATTAATCTTTTATCTACAGCCGCCAAGATGACCGATAAACCTATGATGAAAAGGCACGGGCTGAGTGGGCACCCTTGCCTAATTCCGGTGCGAGGGGTAGCCTTCTTTTTATCCCCGTTAATGCCTACTGTGTGCAATGTCGGGTCGGTGTAGATATTCCGGATTATTGCAATGTACTGCTCGTGTACTCCGGGGATTGCTGTCATCATTGCCGCCTGGTCCATCTCATCGAACGCTTGTTTCCGATCTATAAATAGGCAGTGGAACGGGGTTCCTGTGCTTCAGGAGTAGTCTTGGACGTCACCCTTTCCCTCATAAAAAGGTATGACTTGGGCGTCCTTCCATTCCCGAGGAATAGTCCTAGTTTGCCAACATTCATTCATAATCTCTAGCAGACGTAATGGAGTACAATTTTAGCAGCCCGTACTGTGCTATGCAGCAGATATCACGTGGTCGCAATGAGCGCGGCTAGCTCTCCAGTGTTGTTACTACCCACCTGCGCGCCAAAGTAATGTGGGGAGGAGTGGTCAGCGTTAACGCGACCTTGGCCGGTGATCTCAGATTGCCCCTGTTGGATGCCCCAGCCTGCCTGTGGTGTACATGTTGTTGCCCTGCCTTTGGAACCTGAGCCATCCGTGCATACCTGGTCTTCGTGCCTGTCCGTGTTGTCCGGCTGCAGGGGGCTGAACGGAAAGTTGAGCAGTAGTTTTTTCGCGTAGTTTCGGCAATCGCGTGCTCCAATTTTGGCCGGCGGGGCACGACCGGTGGGCGAGATCCTAGATGCTAATCGATGCTGTAAGCAGGTGGTGATCACTAGGGAAGCCTGCGGTGTGTGTGTGTGGCGAGGCATTTCCGAACCGCCGGTAACCACTTGTCTAGCGCCTGAAGTCGGTACGGACCGACGCGAGGTTTCACAGGAGTAGTCTGCATGAGCATGAGGAGCTCATCCGTGAGAAAGGCATGTGAGTTCTGCCCAATGAGTATGGTATCCTCTTCTCGTGTTCTCGTCTGTTCGGATATGGTAACGATGGACTTAACTCTGCCCAGCCTTTTTGATTGGTGAGAATGCATGTGTGCTACTAAAGTTGTGAAGAAGCAACATGCACCAACGCCTTTTACGTTCTCAACAGCTTTTTGATTCGACGACTGGACGGTAGCCCCTTTTGCCCAGAGGAACCCCCAGAAGCTGACGTGTATCTGTTGAAGAAATGAAATTGGAACGACAGCCACTAGCATGGTTCCCAAACATCAGGGCACAAGAACTGGCAATTGCAGAGCAAGTAGTCTGTTGCAATCCGACCTGTGCTTGTACCTGCCAGATCCTGCCAGTACAAGCCTTGTAAAGCACCGCAGGCCGGTAGCTCCGCAGTAGCCCACTTCACGCCCGCTTGGTCTAATGCTTTGCAAATCTCTCAAACCTGAAATGCGGCTCCGCTGCCGCACGGAACATCCAAGGACATGGAGACGCTCTCCAGGAGTACCTGCTGCTGACGTGCTGGAGTGTACAGCAATCTACAAACGTTTGGCACAGGCTCTGGGAATGCAGGCTTCATACCATGTTACCTGCTGCTCTCAAATTCTTGGGAACATACAGCGAACAGATAGGGGCGAAGTGTTGTCAAGTAGTAAGCATAGACGCGATTCCAACAAACATAAATAGTATGTAAACCAGGGACTCTGTCGATCTGGAACCATCCTCACCAAGCGGGGAACTGCAGGCAACCTTCAACTTCTTCCGACAGGCACCACAACCGGACAAACAACAACAAATGCGAAACAAGGCGTGCCCGTGCATAATGAGATAATGTTGGATAGATGTATGGGGTCTGTTCCTCTTTTCGCATGGCCGTGGCTTGTTGCGTCCCTGCACGATGGCAGAGGATGAAGCTGTACGTATGCTCGAAGCATTTGCTGCTGCTAGTCCTGCTTCCTGAACTGTTCACACACCACTGCGAGAATGTCTGCAGCTGGTTTACTGACGCACTTGTGCCGTCGAAGCTCGTTGCAAAAAATTGTTCCTGACCTACACTTTAGACCCTGCTGCTGAAAAAGATTGACGGCAATGAACAACTGCTACATCAAGACTCTTAGCTCACCGCCTTGTCCTCCAGGATGACGATGTGCCATGTGCTCTGAACCCTTGTCTCCTTTCAGTCCGAACTGCAGTGCACGGAGTTGCAGCAGAGGGTGCAAGGTGTGCTTTTCGTATTTGACCACCGCGGGACTGCTGAATCTCAAAGAGTCATGATGACCCTGTGCATTCAAGTGGTAACCCAAAGCAATTCGTGATTAAATCCTGATGCCTCCAAGAGCCTCGGCTTACGCACTCCTGGCCTTGGGACACATGGGTGCGGGAGGCACGGGCGATCGCATCTCAATCGTGCGGACCTTGGAGCTTTTGCTTGCAAGCTCACTCCCTTTTTAGCAAAAAAGTTCCAGACCTCTTCCATGCTAGCCTCGTCTTAGCCTATCTTTTGTCTCCAAAGCTGACATTCCCTGCAGAATCTGAAGCGGGCCTTCCCCTTCACCGCAGAGGCGAAGCTGCCGCCATCGCTCCACTGACTGATCTCCAGGTCCATGGAACCCATTTCCTGCATAAGCAAACAGCAGCGTGCGGTGGGAAATCAAAGACACAAACAAGAGGTGGGAAAACCTCAACAAAAATTCAATCTTCTTGGAAGGGGAAAGAAATATTCCAGAGTATAAAATCAACCTAGATGAAAGAGGCTCTCAGACCTCCAGGCAGGCGTGTCAACCGTTTCCGAACTTTCCAAGCACGCAGAGGGTCATACCGGGTAGGGAGTGGAACCAAGAAGAGGCAACAAGAAGCGATGTCCAGCATCTCTTGAAACGAGTAGAGGCGCTAATGTCAGCAGAAGCTGTTTCGCAAACGCAGAGGCTACGTTGCTCAATGACCACAAGGCTGGGCTGTGTGGAAATTCGCGTGAATGCAGTGAGAACGCCAAGCAAGGCCTAGAGTCAACAAGGCAAAAGGTGCATCATGACCTTGTTTTGCTGATAGGCTGGCTTCACCCACCCACTTGTTCATTCCTGAAACACATGGAGGAAGTTATCTTGCGCAACTTTTGACTTGAATCAGAATAGAATGTATGAGTCTGTAAAAGTTGTGACAAGAAACAAGAAAGAGAAAAGCTGTTGCGTTCGTGAAAGCACAAGAGGGGAAGTATCCGATACCTACCCATCTAGCGTGATGCGTGTCGTGTGTATGATGTTTGTAGACGCATTCAGATGAAACACGTAATCCTTGTTCTTGCTACCATTGGATAAGTGTATGAAAGGGCGAGAAGAATTAGCCTCTCATTTGCGAAAGACTTGGTGAATGAAACAAAGAAGGCTTGAAAAAGATGGTGAGCACGAGAAAGAGCTGCGAGCTAGTTCAAGGCTCTAATGACTGCCGAAGGACTCTGGCCCGATCTCCGAAGTTAGTGTACAAGTTAGCATCGCAAGCAGAACGTATAAGGAGATTCTGTGGGGGCTTTCATGACTTGCTCAAGAGCTGCCGTGCTCAGTGTAGCGTAGCTCAGCACTTTCCTACTTGCGATGCTGGCAGCAAGTAAAATCATGGCCGTCACACCTGCCAGTAGAAGTTCATGAGACAGTCCGGATCACGCCAGTCGTCGGATTCCAACGACTGGCCCAGCGCCTCTCTCTGTAAAGCACTGCCCTATCACCACATCTGCAAAAACAAGGCCAGGCCTCCAGAGAGATATCTCCCAAGACCTGTTCGAAGATTGGGAACTTTGCTGTAGACGGTGCCTTGCACATGCAGCACGGGATCTGCTATCCTCACTCATGACCTAGAAATACCTAGAACCCAGGCCTTGTTTTGGAGGATTGTCGTCGGTGCGCGGTCCCTCGACTTGCTATCATCCTCAGCGTCTGTATAGAAGGAAGGCGTCCAACACCTGCAAGACCCCAGCTTGCGTGCTATCCCTGAGCTACATGGTCGTAATTTGCCGTGGTGTTTCGGGTGTATGCCACTGTTGGCGTATTTTCGTGCTGGCAGACGCCCGCCACGCTGTTGAGCACTGAGTGTGAAGTCAGCCTGAAATCAGCTTTTTTCTGCAACTCGAAAATATTTTGTTTTAGAGCACTGTTTACCCGATCGTGGCCATTTCCCCCAAAAAGATCTCGATACCTTTTGTCTGACATAGTAAAAAACGTCTGAAACATGCTGGGAATCAAGTAGTGTCGTGACAGAACCAGATTTCAGCGTTGCATAGCCAACTCAGGTGAGCTGTATAACACACTGGCAGGCATGTGAGAATACAGAACTCAACGAACCACGAATCGTCAGGTGCATAACGTGTAGATATAGCGGGAGGATTGTGAGTGTAAGCGCTGGGTAGAATGTATGTTCTTAAACCCCCCGGCTTTCTTACACCCTCCTGCCCCAGGCAGCAAGAACTTCCAGAAACCCTGACAAGCTTTCAAAGTTATGCAAAAAACACAGCAAACTATGACTCCTAGTCCAACCACGTCATCGTTCTTCTTCTTTAGGATTGTACAACGTATGGATGACGACAACATCAAGGCATCAAAAACCGAAACCAAAATGGGAATCAGCACAATACCACAAATGACCGACCCGCATATGATGGGAAACGCCGGCAGTCTCCCCATGCACCCTCTGGTGGTGTGGTTGGAACATCCGGCAAGGTATGGTGGCTAGCTTCAAGGCTCCGAGTTGGGATCATGCTTCGGGCGGAGGCCTTCCGTCCTATTACCCCTGGAGTCTCAGCAAAACCAGGCACAGTTGGGCTCCTTCAAGGGAAAGCACTTAGTGGCAAGGCCTTCGCCTTACGAAGCTCATGCTGGCACAGTACGGCAGCCACCCAGTGTTTCCAAGCACCTTGGCATAAATGGCGTCAGACCCTCCTAATGCGGACGGCTCAAAGCAGAACCATCTGGCACCCGCACTCAGACACATCCTTCTTCTGAAGTCCAAGGTACGAAATCTGTCGAATACTGCCAGCCCAACTCATCTGTTTCACCCTCCACAGGGCAAGTACTCCTCACGACGTTCAATGCACATGATGGTGCGGTTCAAGGACGGGAAGAGGAGAGTTTGAAGATCTATGACGACACACGCGAAACGAATGTCACATTTGCATGGCAACCCTGTCCAGGCACATCGTCGGCGCTCGCCCAAGAACTCCACCATTTCCACCGGAGGGATGTCACTGGCCTTGGCTCTCAGACACCATTCAGGATCACCAGCCTGTGAGTCTCCAGAATTGCAACCGTCCCTTCGGCTGTTCTGATCTGCCTTAAAAAGAGGCTTACAGCAAATTGGAAAAGCCTGTGAAAAGGGTTCAGCGTGGCTTTGGAGCGTGCTGCGGCGGTTCCAAAATTGTTCTAGCGGATTCCTTCGAGAAACTCGATTGGGTGACGGGCCCTCTCAGGTTTCCAGACCAGATTCCCCAAAATGAATCTTTGCCCTGCTCACTCGCGCGGCCGGCTTCTTCAGGTCCCATATCCATCCAGGCACCATCGCAGGTTCCAGACGGGCTTCACGGCTCCCAATTATTTCCGGAGTGGGTTCCGTCAATCTGCATTGTGAGGTTTCAAAGCAGCTCCTGAGCGAATTCCGCAATTCCGGTTTGGTCACTTAGTTCCAAAGTGGTTGCACTACTGGAGCACCAAGTCGTTAGGCCTTGACGATCGGGCCCGACAGTCCGGCCCTGACCACAACGGTCTGGCCGATACAACAAACTGTTGCGCTCTCCACTGCTGGAATGTGCTGGATACCTGCTGGGTTTGTTCTTTGTTCGCTACACCTTGCTGGGACAATACCACACACCAATCGTTGTTGTTGGACCATGCTTGGGGCCAAACCACCTAATTTCTGGGGCCGATTCGGGCCGACCAACTAGATGTTTGGGACTATCACTCTCTCCCTTTGGTTCGCTACAGTACACGATTAAACATTCTCGCTCACTGGGACCTAGAGGGATCTTGACTAGACATGTCAACTAAGGTCCAAGGACACACACAGAGTGGTCAAGGAACCCTGCGAGATCCCGCATGTTCACGGCTCGTCTAGTCCGCGCCCCTGACGGTCGCACCAACCAAATGATTTGGCACCCTAGCAAGCCCATGTTTGTCGGCCTCAGACAGGCTAAGCTTGGAAATTTCGGAAGGCAAGGTGTTTGACTTACCCCAAGATACCCCTTGCTAGTGTCTGCACAACACGTCCCTGAAGCAGAGAAGATGCGTGCGCCAACCAAAAGAACAAGTCTGCAGCATTGAGGTTTGGATTCCCTGGTAAGTGCTGATTCTGACCTTCCAAAACGCGCTTAACCGATGTCAGGTGCCCTTGATAGCCAACACTCTGCAAGGTAAAGGCAGAGCGCTGATGCTCTCATCCGTCTCCACAGACATGACCCGACAGTCAGTCAACTCATCCTGGGATACGTGCACTTATGAGAATCAAATTGCCCTGCAGGTGACACTTAGGCGGTAAACCCATGTGCAATCTGCAAATATGGGACAGTCTTCAACAATTGCCACCCTCGTCATGACAAGCAGACGACTGATTGACAACGGAATCTAAACTGGATCAGCAAGAGAAGACAGACCTGAGTCACAAGCGCCAGTCTTTGATGCTCTGCCACAGTGAGATCCACAATGAGTCGAAACAACTCAGAAACATTCGAACCCATCCTGGAATTTCCACCCTCATGAGGCCAGGACAGGACAGTGTCAAGCACTACAGCGAGGTGCCAACCAGAGACGTGGAGGCATAGCTGCGCGTCAGATGATTGCACCAAAGGGGGACGAAAGTAAACCAAACAAAACAAGCAGGCGCGGCACAGGCAAATCAGCACAAAATGCAAGATCCATGAGAAGGACTCGGCCTCATGAATTTTGGCGGGCAGGCGTGGCAGGGGGCCGGTTAGAAATACAACTGCTGGATAACGTCTCCCCCAGATTAAATCACATGGGGACAGAACCTCATAGATGCTGCACCTCAGCCAGTAGTTTTCATGCGATCTCGTGCCAAAACCCTGGAAAAGCAAGGAGTAACCAACAACGAGGGCCCAAAAACTTCAACAAAAACATTGCAAAACAAAGGGGGTAACCCAAAAACGAGAGGTCTAATATGGAGATAAGATTTCAACCTTTTGATCTTGGCGATAGCTCGGCACCGGAAAAGCCATCAAATACAGCCAGATTCCGTGCCACTCAGCGCTGATCAGCACAGCTTGGCTTCTGACAAAAACTTGGAAACCTGCTGTAACAGGAAAGGAAAGCTACATGGACTCCATTATCTTCCCAGGTTTTTTGTCAGCTTCTGCAATTGCAGGGCCAAGCTCTGGCCCTTTGGCATGCTAAGACTGCTAAGAGTTTGACACTGCATCGTTTCCATGGATGAGTTGAATGTTTCATTGAAGCTCTTCCCGACGGCTGTTCTTCATCCTGCCAGGCAAATACCTAATGCTCCTCCCCGGTGGCCTTGTCTTCAGCCACATTCTTGGGCCTTGATTAGGGTGCGCGTCCCTACCATAGTGGAAGTGTAGTTTTGAGAAGCTTGTTTCTGGAGAGTGGATCACCGGTGCACCTCTCGGAACAGGGAAAGCAGGAACGAACAGCTTCGGAGCATAGCAGCAATGACAGAATGTGTCGTTGGGTTTGGACATTTGGGATTCAGGTGTTCAGCTTGTTTTATCCCTCATTCGTGCCTCTGCAGCTGGCCGCAGGCCCCAGCACGTGGCTGCCGCAGCCAAGCTTAAGGTTCTAGTTCTCGACCAAGTTGCTGCAATTTTCTCCTCGTCAACGCCCTCGGGGATGAACGGATGGCGAGCATAATTGCTGCCTTCAAACGAAACCCATTTCATCCTTGGAGTCTTGAATGTAAGCAGTACCTCAACTTACTCGAAAACGACTCAAGATCTGAAGCCAAGCCAGGCAACTTGGCAACCCCATCATGCAAGAAGTACGGCGTCTTCCAGTTCTGTCGAAAAATATTGGTCCGTCGTTCCAACTCCCACATGGATGCTTCCTTGAGCACCTGGTATCATGGCAACGAGATGGCTGAATACTCTGAGGCAAGCAAGTTCCCATTCAAAGGCTTGCCGAATATGGGATTCAGGTATCTGAAAGAGCGCAAAAAATGCTGCTCTGCTCGCGTCAGGCACAGCTTCCGGTGAGATCATTGACGCCGAGCGCACCAGTTTGTTGGCTGCTGGCACTGATTGCTTCTTCTTTTTCTCAGCATCATCCTCGTAGATGCCAAACAAATCCGCACCTACCTCATGAAAGGCAGCAAAGATTCGGCAGAGAACCATTTCAAAAGCAGATCGCTAACCAAGCAAAAAGCAAAAGACAAGGAAGGCGTCTTGAAAGCTGCTCCTGTTCACCTGTTTCTCCTACTGAAACAAACCTCATTCCTCCCAGTCCACTGTCTACAGATTCCCACGTCGCAGTGACTGCACTCTGGCCCTTGCATGGAAAGTCTTGCTGAAATCTTTCTCAAGCACGAAGTACATTGCACTTTTCTGTAAAGCTCCGAGGTCCGAGAACTCGAAAATCCGCAGGTCCAGCTGCTTGACCCCCTGGATGTGTCACAGATGAAAAATGTCCAGTATTACTATTACTAGTACTATTACTATTGCTATTACTATTGCTATTTCTATTACTATTTTTAGGCAACTAGCAGGTGTGAGCAAGTGCTCCTGGCCATCAAACTCGATCTCTTCTTTGAAGTACACCAGGATTGGATATGTCTGGGCTTGGGAGTTCTCGATCAGTCTCAGACCTTAGTCATCCCTAGATATCCCTATATCTCCCTTATCTAAACCATATAATTTGAATTGTTTCTTGCCGATACTTTGCAAAGCCTGTTGTAGGTTGGGCACTGGCGATCTCGTCCCACTTCGCAGAGAAGGAGACTTCTACGCCAAGGACGCATGAGTAGAAGCAGAGGCGCGCGTTGGTGATAAAGACCTTTCCTGGACATTGCAACCGCAGACGCAGGCATGGACCCGCCGTCACGCTGCCAAAGGTGTCGTGCCTGGGTGGCGAAAGCTTTTTACCTTCACCGAGCCGGTGAGGGCTTGGACGAAGATCTCGCCCTCAATCAGATCCTGGAAGTTCTGGGTGAACTCAATGGCCTGGCTAACTTCAGATCCTGGCGATCCGCAAAACCATTCAAATTCGGCCTCAAGGCTGCTGCTGACCCGCCGCTGCGTTTGGCTGACTCCCAGCTCCTCGTCGGCTTCAGTGCAAAGTCGATGCAATTTGCAAAGCCCTGTCACAACCCTCGTCCAACCTTTCGCAAGTGCTCGGCACCCTCCTCATAACCTGTCCAAGGTGTGGATAAATGTTGGCAAGGAGTTTTGGCGATAAAGCTGATATATAGAATGGATTAGCAGGCCAAAGAGCTGATGAACACAAAGAGGATACCGCAGAGGAGACCGATGAAAACAAGACAGCGTTGAAAGAACGTCTGGGAACGAAGCGTTGCCCTGGATCGCCCCAGAACCGAGTCCAGCGTTCAAGCAGACCTTCAGGAAACTCTACGCAGGGTTTCAGACTTGCGCCACCTCAGGTCGAGGGTCAACCACATCTTCGGCTGGAACTTGATCAAACTCATCTGCCAGCATGTTAACAAAAAGCAATGCAGTAGATGCTGTGAGGTCTCACGAGTCAGTCTTAGGCACATCAACATATCATGACAGAACGAACCACGCATTGTTCGGAAAAGATGAAGCCGCTTGTTTCATGACGAGTTGGCTCGAGTTCTTGAAAGCACGCAAATACAGCTGGGCATTGTCCAAAATTCTATTCATGACAGACTGACCTCTTCGTGGAAATCGGAAGTTCCTTTCGCGCACCATCGCGAGCTTCCGCGAAAGCATGTTTGAGGCAGATACCAAGCCCAACACTCTCAAAAGAACTGTTGGCCCATACCCTCAACTCCAAAACAGAACCTGTAAGACCACCAAGCATGCCGGGAAGGTGAAGTGGGGTTAGAACTAACCCAAGCCCCTAAAAACTCCAAAACCATATCGCAAAAGCTATGTCCTCTCCCGTGGCTTGCAATGCTAGAGGCGGCTTGCTCGCCTTACGCGACCTTTCGCGGATCTTTCGCGGATCTTTCGTGGATTTTGGGGTAAGAATTCGGAGACTGAGCCTGTGCCTCAGAAAGACTTGCAACCCTTTCACCTTTGAGCATGCCTGGAAGCATGCCTGCAGACTGCGAGAAGAGAAACGGTTATATGAAGAGACTTGTATGTTTCAGGGCAGGAAGTCCAACGCAAGACTCAAGCATGTCAATATCTCAGTATGCGGCCTTGGCCCCTAAGCCAGCGCTCGACTGCAGCCAGGTGCTGCTCCGCAGCTTTCAGGTGCTGGAGCGGCACATCCTCACTGCTCTGGCACCAAAACTCCTGTAAATACCATCCCAGTCGGTTCCACGGCAAAACAAATAACGACTCTTACGCTTCCAGGCTGCGTCATCCCCGGCTGCCTCCTGAACAAAACCAAACAAAAGCAACCCAAGCGCATCCTGCAGGCGCTCTCTGACATTTTTCAATGCACCCTGCCTTAAACTTCTCCACGAAGCTGACGCACAACGTTCGCGATGCATCCTTGTCGCGGAGTTGGACGCATTGCCGCCTTGCTCGCGTAAGCACCTACCAAAGGTCTGACAACAAGGGAAAGAAATTCCTCTGAAACGTCCATCAAAACATCATGAAGACCCCACACCAAGGGAACCTTGGATGCCCGCCGTCGCTGTGCCGCTGCGCCACAAAGCAGGTCGCACAAGTGCCCCAGGCTTCTGCAAATGCGAATTCACTGCAAAATGCTGGCCAACAACGGGTGCTGCTAGCAGGGTCGTATGTACTCTGCTTGACTGCTGTCTTTGCACTCGCCAGGCCTGAGAGGCGAACATCTGCTCGAATCCGCCGCCATGGCACAAGCACAAGCAAGCAGCGTTATGTGAATGATGTGTGCAGTTGCCAGCTGCCATGCCTGTATGCCTCAGGCTGCATTGGTTTCAGTATTCTCGAGAACAGGAAGATATGAACTCCTACGCAAGCCGGGTCCAACTTGGACTTTCATCTGAAATAAACTGCTACAGAAAGACACTGAAATCCAGCTTCGGCCTTTTAGCAGCTTTGGGAATGCATTGCTCGAAGGCATGTAGAGGCCAAGGCTTTGCTCGCGAGCTGGCCGACGAGAACGAGGCGCTTTGGCCTCTCGCGAACCTCACACGCTTTGCTTGGTCTCAAGCTGTTGGGCAACGCCAAATGTAGCCTTCAACCCGTCGTCGTGTGAGGTCACCCCAACGTTCAAACGCTAATGACACTCATAAGAACAATGGCAATTCAAACCTTCCACGGGCAACATCGCGTGCTGGGGCCTGAAAGCGTAGCGGCGACGCGAACGGCGTCGGGGCTGGCTTCCTGGTAGCCTGCTCAATACCCCCGTCCCCTGGAGCCCAACAATATCCTTGCACATCCGCAAGTTGCAGACACAGTCATTTCGGCCTGAAAAGAGCGGCAAGACACCACCCTCACCCCTCAAGAGCCTGAAGCTTGCCATAACACTGCTACTACATGGATTCATCGGTTATTACCGCACACCTAGAGTCCTTTCATTACATCGCATGAAGAGGCCTCGACTGAGTCCAGGAACTTGAAACATAGCTCGCCCCTGCGTGCGGAAAAACACATGGCTTGACTCTGTAAATCTGGCCAGCGAAGCGTACGTCTGGCTGCGGTACAGCTGAGCCCCAGCTCGAGGGTACCCGGCGTCAAAGACGCCACGCGCCCGAGATGTGCTTCGTAGCCTTCGGCCTGCAGAATTGACTTGCACAGGAGAAGCAAGCTGGCACCAACTCCAAGACAACAGAAACGGAGCCCAGACGCAAGGTAAGGGGCACACAGCAAATTAGTCACCGGCAGCAGAACGTTGCACGTGCCAGCACCTCCAGATGCTTTGCGTGCTGCGCCACACTGAGAAGGACCTGCAGCCAAGTAAAAATGAGCTTCTGAAGTGGACATGATTGCGTATGATTTCTGCATGTGCAAACAGTGCGGGGAAGAGCTAGAACTGCAAGCTAACAGAACTACGACCTCTGCAAGGAGAAACGTACAGCAACACCAAACGAAGTTACATCCAAGCCTCACGGCCAAGAGCTGAGGCTGCCAGCAGCCGCCGTGCTTGGGTTAAGCACTGCCTACAGCAAAAAAGGAGCACATGCTGGGCTGGGCTCTGGTCGGATTCCAGGCTGGTAGCTGGTGCTCAGCATGCAGCAAACGTGCCTCAGCCCATTCTGCAAATCGATGATTGCGGTATCTCCTGCTTCGCCGGCTGGGCTAAGCATGCTCACATAAACATCTCTTCGCATCAGAAGATGCACTCTGAGGGCCTGCAGCGAAGATTCAGGAAAAGCGAAGCAAAAGCAATGGAAGGTTCAGATGTCAAAAGCCAGCCGGCATGAATTAGCCCAAGAAGATGCAGGCCCATTGGCATGGCAGCCACACATCCAGTTGTCGGTGCAATCAGACCAACCTTTTGGTCGAAGCCGCTTGCGATGGGCGAAGCAATCACAGCTGTGTTAAGACCCCTGGTCCTCCTGGCTGTACAAAGGAGAAATCGTCCAAACCCGTGGCATGGATGCGGGTGCCGCCCTCGTGCGATTCGGCATGTGGGCTCCAAACAACTTCATGCCAGACCACATGCCACCGACCCTGGCATGCTGCCTCTAAGGAAACGGCACAGGTCAGACAGACCTACAAGCCTCCAGGCTGCCTAAAGGGTGCATGTTTCCAACCTCCATGACCAAGCTGATGTTGGAGACGTCCTGAGCTAAGGGACGAAATTCCAGATTTCCAGAACCTGCGGAACTTCGCAGAACGTGAGAAACGTGGCTGTCTACAGTGATGAAATACGACCGGCTGATCCCTTTTGCCACCCAGTGGCGCTGTCTCCAAGATCAAATTCAAGAGAATCTGGTTGATCCTGTTTGGCATGATCGCACTGCATCAGCGAGGCAGGATACCAACAGTTCCCCATCCTGCCTCCGCCAAGCGGCAAATGAAACGAGCCTGTCCAGACTTGTCTGCTTCTGGCGTGCTGCCTCAGTCGCTTCGGCTGTCAAGTCCAAGCCTGCTGCCATCTTATCTTAGCACATCTTAGCACCAACCACTTCATGAGGTCTACGATTTCAGAGATTCCATTTTGCCAGCTGATGTCCACAAGGAGCCCAGCTTTGCCAACCTGCAGCAATGACTGCTGCCGCAGCAGCGCTGATCAGGGCGGTACGTCGCAGTGCCTGCTTGCAGGAAGGTCCAGACCAGGAACGTGTTTAGCTCGTGTGTCGCAAGAAAGTTCTCATCCAACATGAAATACTTTACATACATCTAGCATATGGTAACACTCAACTGCTCAACATCTGCAGGCACCTCCATTCGAAGAAGGAAGCCTTCATGGCCTCAGCTAACATGCGTCAGGACTCAAAAGCCGCTGAAATACTAAGGTGTGGTCGTCCAGCAGCTGGTCAACGGGACTCTTCCGATGGATGCAGAAAAAAGGCAACAGTTATGAGCAACCAGCAGCTGTTGTGATGGTAGTAACAGCAACAAGTTCCAAGCGACCGTACTGGTCGCGATAATCGTGCTTCAAGTCTTCAACTTCCTTTTCGATAATCATGACTTCCAGTCAGAAACCATGAGAAAGGATTGCAGAGGTGAGCAGTCAAGCACCACAACCTGCTCAGTCATGGGAGAACTTTAAGGCTCCTGCCGCCCACAGCCTGAAACACAGAGAAACCAGAGCGCAATTGTTGCGCGGTTGCTTGCTCTTCATGCAGAGACTGGAGTGAAGATGGATCAAGAAAAGATGCAACTAAGTTCTGCGATATTTTTCTCAGAGTATCGTTATGAAACATGTTGCAGAAACTTCATGAACATTTTTCTGAACAAGAAGCCAGCTTTTTCCCGCTTTCCTTGCCTTTTTGGGCTTCCGCGGCTCATTGCAGCTTGCGACCTTCATCGCCAGGCGCCCCGAGGCTTCGAGGCCCACGTAGACCTTCCGCATAAGACATGTTTAGAACATCCTCTCTCTTTTCCAAGCCTCTTCAGAATGATGAACCCACTGCAAACTGGCTGATGCCCTTGCTACACCAAACTTTGCTACTGTACAAACAGGCGGCATGATTTGGCGTGACTTAGCATCAGGCCCAACAGCCGCGCAGAAGACAGCGAAGCCTAAATGCGGGCTGTTGAACGAAAAGGAAAGTGCATTTTACCGGTATGGATAGCCTCAACTTTAAGGTATGGGGAGTGAATAGCTTGAGCTGCTTTCAGATCAAGCTGGCTCTGTCTGAACATCTGGCAATCTCTTAGGTTGGTGCTTCTCTTCACCCACACTTTCTACCTCCAGGGCATGCAGCTCTGAAAAGCAGAACTACAGCCAGCTTGAAGGTCGGCACAGCAGTACCATGCAGTGCCAAGAAAGCCTGGGACTCCTCCAGTATTGCTGCACGTTTTGAAGGAACAACCTGGCTGCCGTCGTCTGCCCATTTGGACTCCCGATCCCAAACACTGCGAGCAACTCTCAGACGAGCCAATTCGCGTGAAATCTCCATTGAGCTGTCATAGTTCGCTGTTTACTGGCCTGGAGCAGCCCTCTCCGCAGCCGGCGCATAGTCACCGAGGCGACAGCAGCACGTGCCTCGCGCAAGACCTGCGAATTCTGCGGGCCCGCGTCACAGGCTGAGTCTTCACGAGCATCATTATGTCACGTCATTAGCAAACCGCGGCCTCATCCAGGCAGGGTCCAACCCCTCCCAACAAAGACAGCTGTGTTGGGCGCTGTGAAGATAGTGGAGGGAACTCCGGTGGCAGGGCAGGGCCTCGAAGCAAGCTACAACTTGCTCCATGTCAGAATAGCAATGTCTGAGTGTCAGGCAAATCCCACCCTCTGGATCCTGCTGAGGTTTACGTTTAGTCGACTTGGAAATGTCTCGAGCGAAAACCAGCCCAGACCTTTCGCAATTCGAGGAGGCAGCCATATGTTGGACCTGGCACAAGTCTCACTCCAGATGTTCTTTCTAGCTGATCGCATCATTCAAGGCTTGCTGCGACAAGCGCAAATGTCCCAGTAGCATTGAATCGGCGCCTTGCGCCTCTGAAGCATGGCTGACAGGTGAGCAAATCCCACCGCAGGTAGGCTCCCAGTCCTAAATCCCATGGCTACCAGATCACCAAGCTGATGTATCATCTCCCTGAAGCGATGGTGAAAGCCATGGGGAAGACTGCTGCCAAGGCTCTGGTAGAATTCGCAGGGACACAAATCCGCGGCGATCTGAAAACGTGCTACTGACCTCAACGTGTTTACAGTTGAGGCCTTGTATGCACAAGATACCTAAGATCAAGCAAATAGACTTCCATGTCACTGCATCGCGGCCTCCCGAAGGTGGCCCGTGGCGCCAGCGCGCGCCTCGTCGCAGCAGGCCTGGAGCCAAATGTGTGAACCTCGGGGGCCAAACTTGATGAAGTTTCGAAGTTTCTGTTGAATTCCTGACGTGCTGAACGGTCACATGAGCAACAAGCCTTCCAGAACGGCTAGGCACGCGGCATCATCCCTCTCACTTCTGCGAAAGCGTCTTTGTTCTTCTGAACACTTTCATGTACCCTGAACATTGGCGAGTTCCTGAAATCTAACAACCCAGTAGTACAGTAGGTCAAGCCGTAATCCGGGTGGCCATTTTCGCACAGACAAGCTGAGTGCCTCTGTTTTGATGGCAATCGGTTTTTCATTGATTCGAGA